GCGCAGAACTTTGTTATTTATAAAATCTGCGCAGTTTTTTATTGGATTTTTCCTCTAATGTTTTGCGCCAGGGTATAAGATCTGCGCAGATATAATTTCTGAAAATCTGCGCAGATCTGCTCCCCAAAAAATTTCCTGATGACATAAACTGGATGTTTGTGTCCAGTTTTCTAGTAACATCCACCTTTATCTCACAATTACTATCGAAATATTGTCGTATATTCTTTTCTAGAGGCATTGTTTTCCAGGAAATGTCATCAGAAAACTCTTGTGATAGTTGTGATATGTCTTCCTCTGAGAGTTGTTTGCAATCATACAAACTTTCTCCTGTTAAGTCGAGGATTTCCCAATACGCAGGACTATTGGACAAAATGTGTATAAACCGTAAATTGGTTATTACCGAAAACAATAATAGAATGATATCAAACTTATGTAATAACTCTACGAATTTTAGGGATTGTGTTTTGATAATTATGGAAGGCTTCGATGATATTAGCATCTATATTCTTTGGTCTTATCTATTAAAAATAATACAGTAAGCCTACTGAATACACGTTCCCAACTATTAACATTAAAGGTTTACCTTTGAAGAATCACTTGTACATGGCAGTATGGTTTCTTGTTCAAGTACATTTTCATTAATATTTTCTACAAGGTTGTCTTCGTTTGATTCATCAAACAATAGTGACAGTTCTTCAAAATCCGACTGGCCATCTTCTATTTTTCTTTTCAAATTATTATGTGTTGAGGAAGAAGCGACTGGTGAGGGACTTAATGAAGTTTGTTCATCATCGAATTCATAAGTACTTTTTGTGGGTTCAATCATTATAGCACGTCTGGGTGTGTCATAACTATACTTTCGATTAGAGTTCTGCTAAAAAAATATGAAAGCATGATGAGTCTTGCATTAATGTTTTGCAAACATCTAAGCAAAACACTTTTTGAAGAGCTTACCTTATTTTGAAGTAATGTCGATACATTTGTACCATCCTCATCAAACTCCTCATCTAACTCCTCATCTAACTCCTCATCTTGTTCTCCCATTGCACTAGCCAAGATATCACTCGCCTGTTTCATATAGCCTTTTGCCATTTTGCTCTTTGTTACCGATCCACTTGAAAGAGTCGAGAGAACATGAGCACAGAAATCCTGCTCGCAAGCAACTTGTAAGTTCTTAAATTCATTGGACTGATTGTGTTCCATTAGCTCTCCCACAAACTTTACAATTGACTTTGGAACCTTGTTCTGCTTTTGAATGAATTTCAGGCTGGCAACACATTTGTCGAAAATTTCATTGAATGTTTTAGGTGAGTCTCCTGAGTGAAGGCTAGAAATGTAAAAACAGTGAAATGACCATTGTCGGGCATCTGTGTTCGTGAAGAAACTGTATTTCTTGTATTTAAATCGATACATTCTGAAATCAGGATCAACTGCTGGTTCCGACATAATGTTTTTCTTTATGAAAAAAGGTATGAAAAGTGAAAAAAGTGAAAATGCATTTATATGATGAATTTAACGATAAGTCGCACATAGGTTAATAATTAGTGATGTCACACCTATCACCTGTCTCACCTGTTACAGATTTCAGGCATAGTATTTATTTAGTCCCGTAATATATGAAATTTGTATCCATTGCACCTCTAATCTGTCGTCCATAATTGCCACGCAACATCTCCTGGATCTGTTCTTAAGGATCCAGAGTGGTTAATATATGGAGGTCTTGACAGCTCAGAAGAGGGAACGTTTCCTCATACCTGTGTATCGCAGTTGCCACGCAACATCTCCTGGATCCGTTCTTAATTGATCCAGAGTGGTTATTTGCAGTAGGTTTTACAGGTCTTACACGAGAAACTTTCAAGCAATTTATTTAAAAATATTTTATATGAGCCAATTTTATCTATTTAAAGAACCTCCACCTGATTTATTATAATAATCTAGATTATAGGCGAAACTTTATTAAATATAATTACATAAACTAATGAAATGTATGATGCTATCAAAGAGGGAGGGAGTACGCGGATCCTAGGCCATTTAATGCGAGTTCCAGCATCAAACTATTTCTTTACTCTCTCATATTTACGAAAAATATCTATAGCTAATTTTTCTACTAACTACAAGATTCTCACCCCCACACTCTTTTACTGCACTAGATTTCCGAAATAAATTATCGCACTCCATATCTACAGAATTTTCATCTATCTATATCACTCTCACCCGCACAGACTATATAAAAGATTATTTCCTGCAAGAAAACTTCTCTGAGATTAAGTAATTTTGAATCTACAAGCATAAATTCGGGAGATTAGCAACTGATGTAAAAATAGTAATATTTCCGATTCACACTTACCATTACTATTAATTTTCGCAACATTACATTCTGCCTGAAATTTATTACTTAATGCATTACAATAAAGTTAATTCAATTTTTTTTTATTGCCGTTACGATATTGCGCTAAATACCAAGAATTCGGCACGTGAAGATGTTTATTATTGAAGACACACTGCGCCAAATTTTATTGAGGAGCGTGATGTTAAGGCATATGACGAGATTTATGTGAGTAATTTCACTGCGCCTATTATACGCATGATGATAGTCAAAGATTTTCTCGGCGAAGATCAAAACGCTGATATATAACAAGAAGAGTAATACGTCCGTTTTATTTTGGAACATCTATAGAGGCGGGAAAATCAAATAACATTGTGATGACATGTTTCAAGAAGCTAGCCGAGCAATAAACTAACTTACTTTATTATGACTTTGTGAAAAATGCAAGTTCGTTTGATTGTTAATATCAATGATTTTAATAATGGTAAGCTTGATGGATTTGAATTTTTTTTTATTTTACTTGCATGAGGCAGATAAAAGGATTCACTAGCCGGGACATCACCTTTTTATGCAATTTGCAGGATCGATCTTGGAATATGCTTTTGGGGAAAATTACGTTAATATGAATACATCATGAAAATCTGATCAACAGATTTAACAATAAAGAATTTAACGCTATCCATAATCCATATGTAAAGATCATCAAAGGGCTATACATAATTTTGAGAATGTGCGAGAAAGTTTGAGAATAAATTATTTTGTGCAATTACTTGTTCTTGTGATACATGTAATAATTATTATAATATTACTGCATGTTTATTTCATCGGGAAAGTTTTTGGGGTGCAGAACTGCGGAGATCTGCGAAATTAGCAGATCTCTGCATTTTTTTGCACTTTTTTGACGCATTTCTGCGAAATTCTGCGAATTTTGCAACTTCGCAGATAATTGAATATTTTTATCTATAAATCAGCAAAATTCTGCAATTTTGCAGATTTCTGCAGATTTATTAGAAAAATTCTGCGGTAATCTGCAATTTTGCAGATTTTTGCTTTTATTTTTCATTGAAATATCAGCAATTTTATCATTTTGATTAACTCTAATTAATTTAACACAATTGCCGGTTGGAGTAAAACCCCGAATAATACTAATATAACTCACAAATGATCGGCATGCATTTACTACGATATTAACTCTACACAACTTTTTTTCATAGTAACACTACGCAAATCCAAATCTTAGTTCAAAAAATTTTTGTTACTAATATAATTCGTTTCACATTTTTTCTATTAGTAAGATATTAATAAAATCATGCGAAACTCACCATTTATTTGTTAAAATAGTGCATTTCGCACTTTTTTATATTAAAATATTAATAAAATGGTGCGAAACTCTCCATTTATTTGTTAAAATGGTGCGTTTCGCACTTTTTTATATTAAAATATTAATAAAATGGTGCGAAAC